CTCTCTCTCTCTCTCTCTCTCTCTCTCTCTCTCTCTCTCTCTCTCTCTCTCTCTCTCTCTCTCTCTCTCTCTATCTCTCTCTCTCTCTCTCTCTCTCTCTCTCTCTCTCTGTACTCTCTATTCTGTTTCTCTTTTTCACTCACACTCCCCTTCTCGCTGCCACTCTCTTGCTCCAACTCACTGTTTTCGCTCTCTCACTCACTCACTCACTCTCTCTCTCTCTCTCTCTCTCTCTCTCTCTCTCTCTCTCTCTCTCTCTCTCTCTCTCTCTCTCTCTCTCTCTCTCTCTCTCTCTTACTTTTTTACTCACTCGCTCTCACCCTCTCACTCTATCTCAGTTACGACACTGTACATTGGCATTAGGGTGAGCACCCCAATTCAACTTCTGCACGTGCCCATGCGTCTTGACCAGCACATAAACGATCAATACATTACAAACAATGCATTATCCACATCAGACACGTGTGGAATCAACTTATTTAAATTCACACGTGGGATTCATTTATGCAGGATGCAAAATGTTAGCACTTATTTATTGATCAAATAAGCCTATGCAGACGTTAATGTCAACTCATAGGCAGCAATACGTCAGTCGATGAGTCATGTGTCTGACATAATTTACTTAGTTATTACTTAATAATATACTTTCTATTTGAGCTAGTCTAGACACTAAAAGAATAAGAATTTAAAGGAATTGAGAAAGACACAACGGAAATATAATATAACTTACCAAAGCAAAAATACTTGAAAATGTTGAGGATTAGTACAATTTTGTAAAACAACGTCTGCCTGAGAGGGGCGGGCACAATAACAGCAACATTAAACACTGAATCAGAATAAAGTCCAAAATATACTCTAGTGATTATATTTATACTATGGTGAGTTAAATAAGACATTACTATAGTGATATTAAATAGTGACCAAGAGTAGATAATAACATGTGTTAACATGTGTTGACATGTGTTATTATCTACTCTTGATAGTGACTAACTGATTACATAAATTAGCAACACTAATTATTATTTCATTCTTCATTAGTTATTCGTAAAAAGAGAGAGATACTCTCTCAAAGGAGTTGCAAATTCATCTCCAACTCTAATGGATGCCAGACAGGTACTTCTACACCTCAATGCAATTACTCAAAGGCTCTAATCTACATTTCTCAATGATGCGATACAGGTTCCTTCACCTCTTAAGGTAACTGCAAAGTCATTTACACGTATTACTGATCCAGTTCACACTACTCTACTGCTCAAAGTAACTGCAAAGAGATTACATGTGTCACAGATTCCTTTACCACTCAAAGCAACAGAAAATGCATTTACTGAATACAATTACTGCAAATACATGCCGTTTACGAAAACCTAAAGATTAGCCTCGTTCACACGAGACCTCGTATTTATGAAATACGGTATTTGCAAAATACCGAATCTGAGACAAATACGCGGCCGAGCGTTCACACGCCGATTCGCGGCTCCAGAAATACGGTATTTGCGAGCTGCGAGCTGCTTTAAACAATCAAGCAAACAATGCGAAATAAACAATGCAATGCGCACCAACTGCCGATAAAATACGTAGACTGGTCTGCGCTCGACAGTTCCACTCGCGTTACACTGGAACTGTCGAGCGCGAACCAGTCTATAAAATATGCGGCTTTAGGAATCTGGTATTTAGCGTTCACACGAGGAAATGCGCAGTCCAAGAGATCCGGTATTTCACAAGCACGGCAAATTATTCGGAGTCTGGGAAGCCGCGTATTTACATCAAATACCGGATCTGTTTAGATACCATATTTCTTGGACCGCGCATTTTGCCTCGTGTGAACGCTAAATACCAGATTTCTTGCTACGTGTGAACGCGGCTACTATTTGTATTTTATTGATCCAACACACCTGCCTCTACCTCTCAAGGAAGTCAGATGTAATTCAGTAAAGTCAGAACTGATCGACATCTTACTGAGGCGAAGCGTGTTTATGGACATCTTACGGTAGCGGCAAACCCGTCTCAACAATGCAACACAAATTCCATTACTTTTACCAGCCCATACCATCTTTTTATCATGTTACAAACCCATCTACATGTGTCACTGATGCAACATATGTTCATCTACTGCCCACGTCAAAGTCAGTTACAATCCAATCTACATGTCTCACTGATGCAACACATGTTCTTCTACTGCTCATGACAAAGTCAGCTACAAACCCATCAACATGTCTCACTGATTCACCACATGTTGCTCACCTCATCAAGTAGCTGCAAATTCATCTGGCTGATGTAATGCAAGAACACACAAGGAAAGGAGAGAGGCCAATGTGACAAGTTTACCTTTTTGAAATCCTCATCGTCATCATCATCCTCCTGAAATTGGGCCGGCACACTCGTGTCTTCTATGTAGTCTTCCATTTCGACCTGCAAAATCACATGTGCTACAAATTTTGCAGTTTCAAAAATTAACCATATCAAATTAACCAAGCAAAATTTACGATTAAAGTCTAACGATTATCAAACAAATATCATTCATTTGCGCTATCAAATGGTAGGATGTAATGAAAGTACAGGGCTTGTAATTTCATACAAGCATCAGAAAAATCATATCTATATTTATGTAGAATGTGCAATGAATCATATGTCTATACATTAAATGCTCATGTGGGCTGGTACGAAAACAAATACCTTCATATATAGAATAATACGACACATTATGTATCAAGTTTCTTGATAGTTGCCAGACAAACAGACACCTCGCATAAACTCTACACAAAGCTACAATGTGTACACATTACAACATGCCTGTATCAAACATTTGTAGTAAGAGATGACAAGCAATGAAATGACATTTTGATGCAGTGACAGAGCATGTGTACGTTAGGCTACCTCTGTAATGGCTGCATCCTGCAGGAGCGATCGCACATCCAGTTGAATCATGTGACGTGGCGCCGCTTGGTGCATTCGCACGCACGTTTCGATATCCGACAATTTGCGGTTGTGCGTGTTGCGTTTCACGCAGACGTGAAGGTCTGTTTGTAACTCAGCTATGTACACCTGCGAAAATACAGCTACAATGTGACACAAGTAACTGTCTTAGGTATATGAAAGTTATCAAGTAAAATTACCAGGTATCAGTGCTCAATAACTTGTACAGTTATGAATTTAAAGGACAATGTAGGGAAATTCAACGGCTATATCATTATTAATTCTATAATTTATCATTTAAGCTAACATATAAAATCTAACAATACACATACTACAAATGGTTAATACATGCAACTATTTATCGACCAAGGAATCCAACAGAATCCACTTATTAGTTATTCTGCAGATCACAATACAGTTAGTCATGGTAAAAAACAACTACAAAATGCCACCAAACTGTACTAAAGCCATATGAATTAACCCTTCCTTATCGCAAGCGAGTCCCGCAATTTCCTCACCATTGCAAAAAGCACTGTAAATAAATAGCCGCCTATCATTTTTTCACCTGGCATCCTCGCTGCTTCGCGTAGCTCCACACTTCCTCAAAGTGGCTAACGAGCTCGTTACACGCGTCAACAATGATGAAGCTGAAGAAACCATCGTCAACCGTCTTCTTGACCGACTTGATCAAGCTGATGCGGTATGTTTCCTCCATCTCCTGCTCATACTCATACTCCAGTATCTATACATGATGCAAAACTCACCGAGTCAGTGTGGTAGATGGAAAGATCAGTGTGGTAGATGGATAGGTCAGTGTGGTAGATGCATAGGTCAGTCTGGTAGATGCATAGGTCAGTTTGGTAGATGGAAAGGTCAGTGTGGTAGATAGATAGGTCAGTGTGGTAGATGCATAAGTCAGTGCGGTAGATGGACAGGTCAGTGTGGTACATGGATAAGTCAGCTTAAACATGATAAAGTGACACAAAGCCGAAACACCTCCAAATTATGGAAGAAAACCTAAAAAATGTTTAAATAAATAGTTTCAGATATTGAACAGCATTGATGTCTGTTAGTTGATCCATGAAGTTAAAATGATAAAGTTTGTACCCTTACATTCTTATTACAATTGAAAAATATTACATGTAGTAAAACAATATTATTCTATTTGGAACTCAGCGGATGCATACGAAAATGCTCACGTGGATCAACATATAAGTAGAAAAAAAAAATTTGAATGGCTGTTAAATGACATTATGCCGGACTGTTTTACTTTTGATCTTTCTGACACTTTAATAGATAGCTAGGTCAATGTGATAGGTAAATAGGATGGTTTTGTGGATGGAAACATCAAATGCAGAAATTGGCTTGTCACAATATCAGAGAACGTACATTTGTCTTATTACCATCTTGAGCACATGGTGAAATGATCACACTGGTGGAAATGTGATACTGCTTGTTGGAATTAAATAGCTACTAAAGAGCAAGAGTACACCACTGATGGTTTGAAATGCCACTGACCTTCTGCATGACCATACGCCCAGTCTCTGGATCCTGAATGTGCTTATCATGCTCAACCATGAAGTAATCATCAAGAGCAATAATCCTAGGTGGAGCACCGCCACTCTCAATCTCTTTCGCCTGAAAGCGAAAACGAGGATTGACAACAGACGCTTCCCCATATTCAACTCAAGATAAAGGCTTCTGCTGCAGTGCTGCCCTCTATGCATTAACATGGCATCGGTTTCACTACAGATGAGAAAAGATAATATAACCAGGGCCTAATCCAGGCCATTTTTCATACCGAATACCGGCGCCCAAATCACGACCACTAGCAAAACGCCAAAATTACAAAATTCATAAAAATACTCAAATTAGCAGAGCTCTGAAGCAGATCTCCATGTTTCTATGATTATGTAGGCATTGACCATTGTTTTATAATAAAATGCTCATATAAGATCTATAATCTATTATCTGAATAAAATGTGTCGACCAAACACCGAATTTAATGTGATAGATAAGTATATATATATATAATTTTTTTTATTCTCGCTACGCTCGCATGGGTGGCCATATTAAGCAGCTAGATTAGCCCTTGATAACATAAGATAAAAGGGCGCATACCTTGATTAGTTTGGCGAGGTAACTCTTTCCAGCTCCAGGCGGACCTCTGAGGATGATGACAATGTTTCGAGGTCGAGTGTCACGATAAGGCGTCATGAGGAGATCCTCTACCATGACCACCTCCACTCTGGGAAGCTGGCTCTCCTGGGAACTCTCCTGCGGGTACCCACCCCTCTGACGATCTTCATGCTCATCATACCTGCTAACGACATTGTGTGAGAACACGACTGCACACTTGCAGTAACCTCGCCCAGGATTCGGTGGGTCGGTAGACAATGCAAAATCCTGTTTGTTTATTAAATCTGCAGATGGGGCATACGTATAACTACACCAGAAAACCTCACTTTGAAACAGTCATGATTTTAACAAGCTGGTGACATAAAAGATAGTACAAGGGTGGTTTTTATTTAACGTCACCCATACAAGGGTGTGTAATAAAGCAGCTAACCTACAGATAGAGACAGCATTTAGAGCAGACCAAAACAAATGCAGAACCTTGCATTAAATCTGTCTCTTAGATGTCGACATTTATATAGGACTTTTATATATTCAATTTCAGGCTTTCAGATTTGAAAAGTACAGGAGGACTACTAATGACTCCCCTAGGACACCATAGGGGGTCTTTTCACGCTCCATAATCACACCCATGATGGAGAGCTCCACTAAAAAATCACACCCTTAAGAGGCATAATGGAGAGCTCCACTAAAAATCACACCTTTAAAAGGGATGATGGAGAGCTCCTTAAGGGCTCTCCATCATGCCTCTTGGGGTGTGATGATGGAATCATGACCAATCCTCAGTCTAGAGTGAAATCCAAAACGAAAATTGGGATGTCATGTCAATCTACTGATTATCATTCATCTTCACCTTCATTAATTCAATGGCTTCGTCAGGATTACATTCTTTTCATCCAACAACCCAACACTAGCACACAGATTAATAAAAGAGTTGATCGGATGTAAAAATAAACTTGTTTGATTTATTCTGATTTCCATCCTTAGAGATTCTAATCCATGTACCTGCATATTTCAGCACAAAATATCATCACAATCCATCAACAAACTAGCCAAATTACTTGTACGTAGTAGCCACGTATGTAGCCCCTCCAGCCCTACGACTGTTTCACGTCGGCAGAAAACCACTTCTCGCCACGTATAGTAGAAAACGAGCAGGTAACTTGTGGCTACCGTATAGGTACTTGTATTTGGATGCTGTTGTTTAGTTGTATTTATATATATATATAAACCAGAGGGTAGTAACCAGACCTGTACCTCTGCCATACGTTCAGTTACTTACACACCACAAATTGTTGTGTGTTGCTAACCTTTTTGTACCCCCCTACATTGAGAACTCTATGGAGCGCTATTTCAACATACTTTTGGTGCGCGATTTCAACCACTTTTATGAGGCGCGATGATGCGCGCACCATGGCACAATTTCGGGTGCGCGGTGGAGCGCGAGCGCGATTGCCCCTTAAAAATGAAAGCCTGCAATTTAGCTTAATTGAATGTCCGCAATACAACAGCTCTAAGTGTCTCACCGTTCACTGAATCTGTCGTTGGAGTTGTCACCAGATGGCAGACGATCATATGAGTAAACACCTCTACTGTTGCTATCCTTGGCCGATTCGTTGTGACAATCCCTGATGTAGGGATCAGAAACTCGACTGTATGGTTCAGAGGGCCGGCTGTAGGGGTCAGTAGAGCGGGTGTACGGGTCAGTAGGGCGGTCGTATGGGTCATCAGGACGACTGTATGGCTCAGTGGAACCACGATATTGGTCCGTCTGAGGGTTATGCGGGTCTGATGGGTGACTATATGGGTCAGTTTGGCGACTGTAGGAATCACTTGGGTGGCTGAAGCGGTCAGTTTCGTGACTGTAAAGGTCAGCCGGGCGTTTGTATGGTTCAGGAAAGCTCCGGCGCTTCGGCATACTGTAAGGATCTCCCTGGTACTGTCCAAATTCCCTTTCTGTGAAAAGTGGAACATTTTGGAATAGATTTTCTCAACTTTTCAAATATATAATACAAACCCTGCATCTCTCATTACTAGTTTGGATGTGAACGATATCAATTATTCATTTGAGACCACTGTATACGAGTATGCGCCACATCCCTTTTAATTATGGATATGCCACCGATATCAGGGGATTTAGAATAGTCAGCATACCTTGTTGTGCTAGCAATATCTGTGGCGAGGGAGGGGGACCAGCATCTGCAGCACTGTATGGCTCATTTCTGTCCATATTAGATCCAGTCCTGTCCAGGACTCCTGCTGCTACAGGATTTTTATGCCCATAGTCTATCACCTGCACTTTGGCTGGTGGTGACCCTAAAATTACACAGCCAACATGTGATACAGCCTGATAAAAAATTGTCTATTGCACGAAAAACACAATTAATTTTTAAATCCATCTTTCCCATAAAAACCAATGTGTATTACACAAATAAAACAAGTCTATATGCACAGATGCTCACCAAACTCATGAACGTTTTCCATGGAATGAGATGGTGGTCTTCGGTAGTCTTCAGACACAGGAGAATTGCTGCCATATCTGTTACACAGAAAATCAGATAATTATATTATCATTCAGACATTGCTGTCACCGATGCAGCCATTTTTGAAAATTTAGTGACTTTTTAAAATATTTACTATCGAGGTTCAAATGCAAACAACGACTGCTCCTGCTTGCAGGACTCTTACTGCACCTGTAAGGTTCAGGGGGGTAGCCACCCATGTGATGATCGTAGTCCCTGTGTTCCACAGAAGCTTCCCGGTAATATGGCTCCTCCCTTCTTTTGTAGTCATCGAACTGCGCAGGATACAGTCTCTCTTCACCTAGGTGTTGCAGCACCAGACAGGACGGTTAACGTATATAAACTGCAATCTGGCAATAGCCATATGGCGATGGCAATTTTTCCTCTCACATTCACGTGCATTTGAAAGACCTGTTAATGGCAAGACGACTGCCAGGTTCAATTCTCTACTTTTCCCAAATTCCAACAGAGGTCCCCTATCATAATAATGACTCATGGTATAACCATAAAGAGCTTACTTAGAGGTCTCACGTCATTGTTTATAGTACTAGACATTTGCGAAGTAAGTACCTCTAAATCTATCTTCTTGATAGTTTTCGCGATAATAAGGGTCTTCGTGCTCGTAGCCTCTCCTGAACTCCATCTGTCTTTGATCTGGTGCAGGTCTATTCCAACCGTAACCACGCCTCACTCCAGTCTCTGACACATTGTATCTAGGTGCAACCTGGAGAATAGCACATGTGCAATATCATGACATTGTTCCTATGGCTTAACGCATGCACATGCAAGATGGATGGCATATTAAGACACCCGCCACTGGTTAACAACACACAGAGATGCATACGGAGAAACCATGTGACAGCAATCTCTCACCTTTCCCTCTTCATCCTCATCGCCATAAGCTGATATCAGGCCAAGAGCAGAATTCTTTGCTTCTTCTACCTTCTTCCGATCTGCCTCTTCTTCCTTCTTCTTTTGCTGCTGCTCTATGAGACCCTTCAGACTCACCTGCTCCTGTAACTGCTCTATGTTCTTACTCTTCTCGTTTTGGTCCTGCTCATGCCCCTGCTCTTCTTGGCCCTACAACAAAATGGCGACACGTCAACCACCTCGTTGCAGCAGGTTCGACCTCACTGAAGTCCCGCTACTTGCTTTTATTGAGCATCGAAAAGTACAAAGTTAACTTTACTTGAATCGATTCGAGACATAAAAATAAACGTTAACATGTAGTTAGTGATGTACACCTCTCCTGGACATATTGGTATTCTTACCTTACTTGAGGGTGATGGTTCATTTGAGTGCTTCAGCCATGGATCAACTTTCCTCTCTTGCTCGGCATCCCTTCTGCCCCACTGACCATGATCACCTCTTCCGGCCCCATAACCTCTTCCCCTGTGACCTCTACTCCAGTTGTCCCCTCGGCCCCTCTCTCTTTCCCAGTTCGGTCGCTGGCTGTCCCGGTCCCTCTCTCTTTCCCAGTTCGGTCGCTGGCTGTCCCGGTCCCATGATCTCCTACCTCTACTATTATCCCAATTGCGATCTCTTCGTGAGTCATGATCACCGTCTCTATTACGGTCTCTCTCTTGCCTTTCCTTTAATTTGTCTTCCTCCGAGTACTTATCCCGCATGTCGACGCTTCGCCCAAAGCGGTCGAGTTTTACCTTGCTGAGCGACTCTGCACTTTTTGTGCTTCTAGTATCCTTCTTTGAATCCACTTTCTTCTCCTCAGCTTCTTTGGGCTTTGGTGCATCTGGCTTCGAAACCGGAGTTTCCCCTGCAGGTGCAGACTGCCCAGGCGCTTTTGTTTCTGGTTTAGTGGTGATGGCAGTCGGTGTCTGCTCAACTTTCTCATCATTTTTAGTAGTGGACACTTCTGCTGCTTTTTTTTCACCTGTTGATGCACTAGCAGTATTTGTGGTATTTTCAATCGCAGTTGCAACTGACTGGGTGATGGGTGTGTTCATTCTGTCAACACTATTTGATTTTGTTTCGAAATTAGTGAATAGAGGTCCATCTATGTTAACAGTAATGTCCATTAGTGACGGCAGCTTCTTCTGCTCCTGTTTACTTGGTTGTGGCACAGTCTTATTTGGAGAATTCACTGCTGTAACTGGGACAGGGTTCTGTTTCTGATCTTGGACCAGATTATCTTTCTGTAAACTGGGCTTTTCAGGAGTCTGCTTTCCTTGCATTGCCGTGCTTTCTTTTTCACCAGGTTTCGATTCAGGCACACTCGAACCTATGCGAGCAGACCCTTTACCCTGTACAACATCATCAGATTTATGTTGATGAAGATTGGAACCTGGTCCTTGTTGTGGTTGTTTTTGCTGTTGTTGGTTGAGATTGGAACCTGGTCCTCGTTGTGGTTGTTTTTGTTGTTGTTGGTTGAGATTGGGAGCTGGTCCTTGTTGTGGTTGTTTTTGTTGTTGTTGGTTGAGATTGGAACCTGGTCCTCGTTGTGGTTGTTTTTGTTGCTGTTGGTTGAGATTGGGAGCTGGTCCTTGATGTTGTTGCTCGTGTTGTTGTTGTTGTTGTTTGTTGAGGGAAGGAGCTGGTCCTCGTTGTTGTTGATTGAAATTGGGACCTGGTCCACGCTGTTGCTGTTGACCAAGACTGGGAGTTGATCCTCGTGGTACCTGCTGCTGTTGCTTGAAATTAGGAGATGGTCCACGCATTTGCAGTTGCTGTTGACCAAAATTAGGGCCTGGACCTTGTTGTGGTTGACCGAGGTTTTGAGATGGTCCTCTTATTTGTTGCTGCTGTTGTTGACCTAAATTTGATAGTGACTCTTGCTGTTGTTGGCGAATATTCTGTCCTGGGCCTCGCATTGGCTGCTGGTGTTGACCGAAATTAGGACCTGACCCTTGCTGCTGATGTTGCATGAAATTAGGACCAGGCCCTCGCATTGCTTGTTGTTGCTGAGGAAAATTAGGACCTGGCACTTGCTGCTGCTGGTGCCGACTGAAATTAGGTCCTGCGACTTGCTGCTGCTGCTGGTGCTGACTGAAATTATGTGCTGACCCTTGTTGCGGTTGCGGCTGGTGTTGACTAAAATTTGACATGGATCCTTGTTGCCGTGGGAACCCTCCTCCTACATGACCTGGTAGAGGTGACTGCGCCTGAGCTATCTGTGGCATCCGCTGGCTTATCTGGCCTTGTTGGATTCGCTTAGCTTCATTCTGCTTCTGGTGCTTCTCTTTCAGTTTCTCCCGCTCAACATTCATCTGCTCTTTCCATTGCAGCCACTGCTGCTCGTACTGCTTGAAGAGATTCTTATCTGGGTGATCCTTGTTCTAAATAAAGGTAGCCTATTAGAAACTCAAGATAGGTCCAGATTTATCAATATTTGGAAAAAGACCGCAGTGTGAAGGTTATTCTCATAGTTGCCACAGTTGCTATAGCACATAGAGTAACTGCAATTTAAATCTGCCTGTATCATCAATACAACCAAAATGAAAATCACAATTGTCTATTAAATACACACAAATAAACACATTAAATACTTGTCATTACATGTGTGATGTGTGCATGGGTGATTACATGTATATGAGAGCTATGTGGCAATGGTCACAAGTGTTTTGTTACTAATTTGATTAACATTTATAATAACATTGGTCATCTGACTACATGCACATTGTACCTGTTCTTTCCACTCTTCAAACTGTTTTTCCCACTGGTTATATTGTTTATTAAACTCTTCTTCCTCCATTCCAATTTCACATCCTTGATTATTAACCTATAAACAACATACACGTATACATCATATTACTTTATGATTTAATAATTATACTATTATACATACATACATATATATATATACATATACATGTACACCACCGATTTTCTGGAACCCATGGTTTGAAGGCCTTTCCGGATCATCTGTTTTTCTGGACCAAAAGAGTCATAATTCAACAATACACCTCTGAGCAACTAAATACCTCCCATCATGTCTTCGATCATCTCAAAATCACCATGCACTGCTAGAAATGTAAAAAAATATTACATGTAAATTAATGTAAACCACCACTGACACTTGCACCTGCCTTAGACGCCATAGCTAGGGTAAAATCTGAGCAAAACAAGGTGGTGGCCACCCGGTGAATTTTATCCGGACCATCAGTGTCCGGAAGATCGGTCGTGTACCTATATAGTATATAGTATATATATATATAATATTATTGTATTCACCTTATAGTATATTATTTAGTATTCTTTGCTCACATATAAAAGGGTGTATGTTACAAGGTTCCATGTTCAAATGATATAACCTATGCCATGCATGCATGTCCTATGCATCAGTCACCGATTGCTAATCATCTCTATACCTGATCTTGAGCTGTAGCTTGCTGCTGAGCCGGACAACTGTATTGCACCTCCTGCATCTGCATTATGTTCTGCTGCTGTTGTGTGAGAAAGTCTCGCATTGGTTTCGTTTGCTGCCACTGTGTCGCCATCACTTGTAGCTGAGACAACTTCTGTTGCTCAACTGGATTCTTGGAAACAAACTGAAGGCAGATATGTAACACAAAGACGTGAAGGAATAATTTAATTGAGCAACCATTAAAGCAATATCACACATTAGAATAGAAAAATCGAGAGTATATTCATCTGTATGGTGTAGTGTGTGCTACCTTTACATCTAACACAAATAGAAAGTATTATATGAAATAAACAAAGGGTTCATAATGGAATTGTTACTCTATTGGCACATTATTATACTACTCAGAGACATGACAGGTGAATAGAAAAGGTGCAACATCAAAATGTAAAAAATCACTTCTGGTTCTCCTTCAGTTTTAGGTTTGTTCTCCTCTGTTGCAGGTTCTTCTACGTTTATGCCTTCTACTTTGTCAACAATTGGTTTTTCAGTCGTTTGCTTGGAAACAGCAGTAGTATTTGGTGCCTCTGCTGGAGGCAAACCTAAAATACAGTTCCAAATTAACATAACATAATCACTACGTTTAGATTATTTGATTAATTCTGCTATTATGTTGTGTAGTCTGACAAACTATTTTTAATGTACTGCAAATCACCTTGGTCCAGCCGTTTCTGCTGCATGCTGCCAACAGTTGAGCCTGGACCAACTTCACTGACATTTATTGGTCTCGGGCCAAGAATGGCCTTTTCTGAACCCATTTGACCCATCATTTCCATTCCACCTGGACCAGGCATGCGCTGTCCACCCACATTGTGCTGTGGCATGTTAGGCTTCATCTGATTTATGCCCATCATTTGCCTTCGGGATTGCTGATTCTGCTGCATCATGCGCTGCTGATGCAGTTGTTGTTGCTGCTGCAGCTGCAGCTGCTGTTGTTGCTGTTGCTGGAGCTGATGTTGTTGTTGTTGCTGCTGCTGCATTTGCTGTTGCTGCTGCATACTCCAGTGAATAGGTTCCTGATGCACCTGGTTCCAGTTGCCTTGCATTTTGTTTTGTGACAGCATTGTCTGCTGCATCATGGGATTCATTCCCTGAAAACCTGACATTAATCCTTGCCCTTGCCGTATACCCCATTGATTTGGAAACATTTCTGCACTAATAATGACTTCCAACTAATAACTAAATTGTTGTCTTATAACTCAATAATTTAGGACACTTTGAGGTCATATAAATTCAAATATGGAACACAACCGCACATATTAAACCATAATACGCAATAAACTCTTGTCTCGCTAAAATCTGTCACACTTTTACATAGGATGTAATGCTCGTGCCGCCACCTATTGGCTACAAATATAGTTAATATAAGTAATCGTGTTATTTTTGTAAGATAAACAATAGCTTTTGTGTAAAATTTTTAATTCTTAAAATTTCGAACACATGCATATAGGTAAAATCAGTGCAATTCTTGTGTTTTATATTCAATATTTTTACTTATATGGCGTGTTTATCGGAGAAACTGACCCGCATGTGGTGGGTGATGGCAGAAAGATGCGATATGATATGACTACTAGGCACTTTAATTTAATTAATTTTTTTTTTTAGGGTTAGGGTTAGGGTTAGGTTTAGGTTTTTTTTTTTAAGTGCCTAGTAGTCATATCATAAGTGCCTAGTAGTCATATCATATCTAACCTGTATGATACAGGCGTTTCCGGTTCCGCTTCACTACACTTAGATAGTGTAGATAGGGTAGATAGTGTAGTGAAGCGAAACATACCGCCTGTATCATACAGGTTATATCATATCGCATCTATCTGCCGGGTGCCATGTGGTGCGGTCCTATGCGATAGTACTGTCACCTGGCGTCACATTCAGGTAATGGCAAAAACGATCACACAGTTACAGGTCTGATGATAGGCGCCTACAAAAAAGAAGTTGGCGGAGCGATGACAGGAAATGTAGTCATTACCCACGAAAGGTAACCGTATTTATGTATATGATCTGTGTAAATAACAATAATGTCGATATGACTATGTGAGTATGTCTATGGGCCGTTCTGAACCATGTGACGTCTCTTGTAAAAGGTTTGTTGAGTCGCTGAAAGAATGTTGATGTTGTAACCAAACTTGGAATCTGCGCAATCTCGAGATTTCGCAGCGATTGTGCTGC